GTCAGGCGCTCTGGGTCTGACTCTCCTTACTCAACATCTGTTGTGCATTGGTCAGTGGGTGTTGAGAAACTGTATCATATTGTCATATGTTTTATTTTCTATTACTTTAATTATTTATTATTAGTAGCATTTGTATATATGAATTTAGATTTAATTAATAAATAGTTCTTATCTCAATTTTATGAGCTGCCTTATTTCTTTTTCCTCCAATTCGTCCCCTCCACTGGAGGATGGGAGGGGGATTTGTGAGAGCGGCTTCATGGCATTTTGCTAGCTGGAGTTAAACCATGACACATGGACACCTGGCCTCCAGACAGGGTCAACCCACCACACCATGTCTCCCTTGGTGCTAGAACTGCAAATATCTTGCCATTTTGTTGCTCTGAAAATAATCCTGTTTATTTCAGTTGTTAATTTTTTCAAGGATGATGCCTTCATCAGGTAGATAAAATCTTCATTAAAGCAGTCTGTCTTTTTTTTTTCCCCCTTCAATTCAGGATGTGCAGCTGGACAGGGTTTTGTCTGGGATGTCTCTGTACTCACCTTTGACTATGTGACTGGCTGTCCCCAGACTCCACATGGAAGACCTGGTAACTACTTGGACCTTTAATTATATCATTCATCCAGTGATACTTTTCCAGATCACTGCTCATTGTTCCATTTCTGCCTCTACAGACACACTTAATCACTAAAACCTGTGACTTTTCTCAGTTATATGGTACCAAACTTTCTCTCCAAGATCCTTATAGTAGTTTTCTGAAAACAAAATTCTTTACCTTTCTACCATCTAGGCTGAGGTTCTCTGTGAGTCCTCCTGGCAGCTCAGTGTCTCTCACATGTCATTTACATTCTGGATCCAGGTAAGGAAGAAAACTTCATATAATCTCCCTCCTGCAGCTCACCTGCATGTGTTGCTATGATGCATATGCAAAGATCCCCATCTATGAGCACCTCCAAAACCTGTCACACGCTCCTACTGGCTGCCCATTTGTGTACTTGCTGTTCAACCCTACCTCTTGGTAAAATATTCGGGCTAGATTTGCCAAGATGTCACATTGTTGCTATAACAATTGGAAATTTCTCCACTCAAAAGCACAGAGCACCGTTGCTTCTACCTACAGAATTTACAGACGGACGAATGCACGATACAAAAGTTGCTCTATATCAATTTACACCATCTACAGCAACTGTTTGTGGATGTTAAAAAAAAAACCCAAACACCCAGAATACCAGAATATAGAACCTAAGAATAAGTTCTTAATCACCATTAAATTGATCGATTTATATTGCACAAATGATCAACACTGAAGATTAACTTGTTTACAATTAAATACACAAAGCCATTTACTTACCACTGGCAGCCTGGACTGAAGCATCTGGAGATCATCATAACCATAAATCTGCTTAAAGACAGATAAAAATACAACACCATTGTAACACGTTTCTCTGATGCTGACCAATCTGTGGCTTTCAACAGAGTTTAACCTAGGCCTTGTCTATTGCAAAGGGGTACAGCTATACATCACACTGTGCCATCCTAGCACGCTGCAGCATGCTAAGGGTAGTAAAGCTCAGCTTAAAACGGCTAGTCATTCTGATGTTGTTTCTTGGTGACAGCAGTCCTTTGAGGAGTGTCTGACTGTCTCATTTTCAATACTGTTTTCACAGATGGATCATCCACCAACTTGTGAAACCTACAGGGCATTCAAATTTGGGACTGAGAGCAGCAGCTTTCCTTGCTGCCATCATTACTTCTGAGAACAGCAGGATTTAAAATTTGATGACTAGATCACAAAGTAACCTATGGTATCCCCTCACATCCAGCATGACACAGAAAGATGATTACAATAAAGTTCCTGATTAAAAAAAACAGATAACCAGAAGTATGTTGATCCTGATCAGACATCAAAAGCTATGTGCAGTATTTCAAAATACGACAGACAGGACACATGGCACATTTCAACTACTACTATAGTAAATCTATTTCAGTAGCACAAACCTTGGAGTCTAATTTTACTCGAAGGGCCTAAAACCTGATACCACTGAAAACCACAGCAACATGCATGTTTAGCTTCAACAGCAGGTCTGCACCAACAGTTCTGCAGTTTATTATCAACTGTAAAGACCCACTGAATGTATTTCACATATTCTTCAGCATCTGGAACAAGATCCCAGGTGGAACATGTGCCAAGAGAAATGTCTTGGCATAGACAGCAGCAGGTCTGGAGGGTCCCCTTGCACCACGGGTTAAGCAACTGAAGACAGGAACAATAAAACTCCTTACTGGGTAGGCAGGCAGAAGTCCTCCAGGTCCCACAATATACTGGTTATGCAGCAAGGGTGGTACACCTTGGGGTAGGTTCGGGGGAGCTTTGCCTGTAGAATTAAAATGCAGACACCTTAACAAGCCTTTAGAAAAGAAAAGGCTTCAGCAGTGAGACAAGAGAGCTCAACAAGACCTGGCTGTTGCACTGTCCTAGCTTGTGAAGAGCAGAACTATGTAGAAGGATTTTGTGCTGGTTGATGAAAATGTTCAAAACACCCTGAGAGGAGTTCAACCATGCCTCAAGGGAGGGAAAGCACTGGCTACTTAAGACTGTAAACAATCCCATCAGAGAACAGTCTGATTTTGTCATTTACCTTGTCCAAGAGGATTACAATAATTACAGAAACCTCTCTGTTCCTCAGTTCCCCTCCTGAAAGCAAAATTTAGGCATTGCACTCAAGGTGAGAGAACAAATTCTGTCCTTTTATTTTCTGCTTTGTCAACACATTCACCCTTATCACCAGCAACAGACTGGAAAGCACTAAATGTTGCCAGCACACTTTTTGTGGGTGACTTACTGCAGCTGAGAATAGCAAAGAGAAGACAACTGAAACAGTTTCGGTTGCCTCCATGAAGCAGTGCTAGGAAGCAGAAGAGTGGAAAAAAATACACACTTTGAACAGTCATCAGTTCATTTACAAGGTATGGGAATGAGAAATGAGAAATAATTCTGTAAGTAAGTTTGATCTTAATATTTAAATCCTCCACTGCCCTCCATAGGATTTTCTTTTAGCAGTTCAGGTTGACTGGAAAAGGAAGAAAGAATCAGCATTGCTCCCACTTCAGGGCTAGAAGCCTCCCCACCATCTCTCTGTAGACCCTTTTTCTGAAGTGCTATTTGCTGTGGAATGACCCAGACATCAGACACTTTCTGTTCTTTCTGCAGATGTGGCAGGCGAGACGTGGCATATGGTAATGAGGACATTGCAGTGTATTTTGATGCTGCCAAATGAATTCAAGTCACAGAGAAGACTGAAGCTAAAGCTAATGTGAACTCATAGGCAAGAGCTAATCACAGCCTGGAATACAAACTGGGCAAATCTCCTAGCCCAAAACTACCAAAATTAGAACTGCTCTGGTGTCTATTCATAAAGTTGTCTGGAGACAGAATGTGCTATATAAATGCCAATAACACCCTAACAAATATTTCAAATCCACACAATGAGGCAACTTTATTAAAAGCCAGTAAATCAAGCATGCTGAAAATGCTAGTCAAGAGTGTGGATTGCTTAGCGCAGTTATGTCTGGTGAGATGGTCAACTGACAGCCCTGCTGACTGAAGTCATCTGTCTATCCACGTGATCCATTAATACTGCGAACCTGAAGACACTAAGGGAGCTGCCCGTGTGGTAGCAGCTGGTATAGAGACACTGGTAACGCTCAGGCCAAGGCTGTTTGTAGTGTTCATACTGCTTGCCATGCTGACAACCGAAGAGGTGGTGCTAGTGGCGGAGGTTGAAGCAGCTGCAAAGGTTGTTGAGGGCTGCAGTGAAGTCGTGTTCTCAACACCAGTGTGCTAGAAAGGAGACAGAAAGAATGAGGATCACAGAGCAAATAAACCCCAGTGGAAGATGTTCAGGAAAAAAAAAAACCAAACCCCAACAATCTCTTACGTAACAGCAGAACATGCAAAAGAGATGCATTATCTACATACCAAGCAAGCAACCAAGTTGCACTCTTGTGATTTTTAAGTATTCAAAGTAAATTATTACGTAAGATTTACATTCAAACCTCTTATCATCACAAAATTATATCACAGTAACTTAAATGTCACTCCAGTGCCTTATTTCTTGCCCTTTGCTTGCATATTCCTTTAGTGGAAGATGTTCAGGAAAAAAAAAAAACCAAACCCCAACAATCTCTTACGTAACAGCAGAACATGCAAAAGAGATGCATTATCTACATACCAAGCAAGCAACCAAGTTGCACTCTTGTGATTTTTAAGTATTCAAAGTAAATTATTACGTAAGATTTACATTCAAACCTCTTATCATCACAAAATTATATCACAGTAACTTAAATGTCACTCCAGTGCCTTATTTCTTGCCCTTTGCTTGCATATTCCTTTAAGCTAGTACTTGTTATGTTAAATAAACTCCTACATTCTTCCAAAAGACAGTATTAGTTTTCAAAATACAGGACACCACTACCATGATTTCCTCAATGCACTTGTGGAATTTAAAAGATTAAAACCATAGCGCCCCACAACAGTCTGTGTGGTAAACTCAATGCAGACCAGACGTAGCATTGGACATAAGAGGATAAAGGAGTTCCTGGTTTGAATCCAGCACAGGTACAGTGCCTTAGCTGTAAGCTGACTGAATTTGAAAGTCGTCAACACACAGAAGCCAAAAAAACTCCGACAACAGAAAGGAAGGACATTTGGAGGTGTGAATTTTTAAGTTACATATTCAGTAGGGATGGAGCATTACAAACCAAAATACAACCATACAGTAACTGATCTGCACACCCCAAGAGAGATTGCACAGAAGTACCCCATCACAGAACAAGGCAGTGTTTCCCTGACTTATGTTTGTGCAACCTCACCTAGAGCACTGTGTTCACTACCATTTGCCTGGATAACTCAATGCATCAGACACACAGGTGACAACAACGTCACATGATAAACTCTAAAATCATCTGTCATGGTGCTTTTGTCATGACATGTGTCATTCCACCACCGTCATTTTGCCAGCTCACCTCTCCAGTGGAAACTATTAACACTCCACATTTTGGAGCAGTTTCAGACAGCCGTTTCTAAAGATATTTTTTTTTTTTTTAATAGGTTCTTTACAAGAAATCCTTTTTTCCATCCCACCTCTTCCGAGCAGGAAAATTT